GCCGTGTCGCGGTGCATCGCGGTTATATACAGGCGTCGCGGCCATCGCGGCGTCGCGGCAGGCATGCCAACCTGCGGTATACGCAGTGTCGCGGTGCATCGCGGTTATATACAGGCGTCGCGGCCATCGCGGCGTCGCGGCAGAGCATGCCAACCTGCGGTATACGCAGTGTCGCGGTGCATCGCGGTTATATACAGGCGTCGCGGCCATCGCGGCGTCGCGGCAGGCATGCCAACCTGCGGTATACGCAGTGTCGCGGTGCATCGCGGCTATATACAGGCGTCGCGTCCATCGCGGCAGGTAAGGCTGCCTGCGGTACAAGCCGTGTCGCGGTGCATCGCGGTTATATACAGGCGTCGCGGCCATCGCGGCGTCGCGGCAGGCATGCCAACCTGCGGTATACGCAGTGTCGCGGTGCATCGCGGCTATATACAGGCGTCGTGGCCATCGCGGCGTCGCGATCGTTGCCGCGACTGTCGCGCGATAAAAGTTTGGTACCGATTGAGCCAGTTCTAGTGCTGCAGGTGACCGTCGATGAAAACATCCACCGTATTCCAGCCGCAGACCTGACGCTTGTCGTCGCCGTACACAGGCATCGTACAAAATCTTACTGACAGATAATTTTTAAGGACCCGTCTGGCCTGATCAAACGTGAAAGATCGGCGGAGATGGAATTAGATTGTTGACTCTGAAATCCTATCCATTCCTATCCATGAACATTAGAAAGGATCCGATATTCAGTGACTGAGATTCTGATAAAGTGCTGACCAGATTTAAAAATCTAAAACAAGAGAATTAAAAATCACTTCGATTACGAGCGCCAGGTTTAAGCTTTAAAGCAACAACGAAATGAAAACGTAACTGCCACCACGCACAGTTTGGGGAGCATCAGGCCGGACTGTTTTTTTTGCAGGTAATAGGCTCCGGTTTTTAATAAAAGGTTTTTTAACAATAGGATAATTCGGCCGCCAGTCACTTCGGCCACGTTACATTTTGGCTGACAAATTTCCCGCTTGGTCTAACTCGCCCATCAATTACTATCCCACCGAAATGGATATAAGTTTAGTCAGTATGTTTTACAAAAGCAACGCCTAGCGCTCACACGATCTAGAGGAAGAATCCATCCACAAAAAACTGACTATATTGCTCATAAAACAGGTTCTTAGAAACCCTAGCCTTTACACATTTCATCCCCCTTACAGCTTAATACTAAAATTTTGCCTGCGACCAGCAAACTCTGACATCCAAGTTCTGAGCTGTTTAAGAAACCTAATATAGTGCCAAATAAATCTGGAAAAACACCTAAATCACTTAGGTTTCTTAGATTTTTCCAGGTTTTCTAAGAAAACCTCAGAAGCGTAACAAACGAATTTAGAAGCATAAACGACCGGTAGCCGAAGTGAACACTAGCCAAAGTGAGCATCAGACGATATGAACCGAAGTGATCGTTTTCGTTGTCGCATTTGCACCGGTGTTCAACTCTTACTGGAGCGCCTGTAATCGGCTTACAGACAAAAGCGTCCGACGGACGGTTGGTTTTGCCGGTTACAAGTGTAGCGCCGATGCGCTGCGCGATGGATATCCTTTCTTCGGTTTGTGATAACTTGTCGTTTTCTGGAGAATTGTTATTGTTGTGAGTGCCTGCTGCCTCGAATTGGGCTCTGCCCTGAATGTCTGCGGACGTTAAACCATTTAACTTAAGTTGGGTCTAAAGGACATTTCATCTTTCCAACGGAAGCTACCGATACAATGGACGTTTTATTCTGTATTCGTACGAACCTGCCACTGAAGTTGCACCACAACTACCGTACTAGGTGACCAACCAAACTCAGTGAATAAAGTAGGAAAATCAGAATATGAACTATTTCCTACGCCAAATTCTCAGACTACCAGCGATGCGAACTACCAGAAACTCAACTAGGCGCACGAATACAGTCTGGATGCGGTTACAACTTATGTTTTCGCTACTAGAAAGCACGAAAGTGATATCGTGAGTTCTTATTCCGCACTTGCTATTCCAGTCAAAAATATCATCTCCAGAAAACGATAGGCCGCACTTCTGATTTCCAGACAACATGCCTATTAACACCATGGCGCCGACATGGTCTTTAAAGAACGTAAGAAATGGTTGACCAGCTAAATACAAAGAGGAACAGAGCTCAGAAACAGCAAAGCTGCGTGTTGGCAGCTCCACCGAATTCAGTCGCTATCATCAATTCCGAAATCAGAGATTTCGATCCCTTCACTCGAAGCGGCCGCGGTCAGCGTGGTCAGCTTTGCGGCGTCCAGATCTTTTAGCACAGCCGTCGTCCACTTGCGGTGGCGGTAGTGAGTGGACAGCCGGGGATCCAAGCGCTGGTAATAATTCAGAATCTGCAAGAATCATAAGTCATGCATCGATAATTAACAAAACCTTGCATCCAAGACATCATATCCAACGAATGGAAAAACATTTCACAGTAATTTAGACACCCAAACAAGTTGTTCTTTTATGAGATCTAAGAGATAATCGAGGCATCTAAAGTTTCTCGTAGACATAGCACAGGATTTGCATCCGCGGTTTGGTTTCAGTTTTCACACAGAAATCGTGTGCTTTGTCTACGACAAACTAAAATGGCTCGATTTTCTCTTAGATCCCATAAAATATGACCCATTTGGTATCAAAATTCTTGAAATTTTTTTGTCTTTCGTTTGAGATATCGCTTGCTGGTTTTCGTTGGGAAATACGCCAGGAACAAGTGTTCGTATTCTTGCGCGTTTTCAGTTTACTGGTCATGTGGTCCTGGCCATTTAGTTTTATTGGTCATTCGGTCCCGGACCGAATGTAAGAGAATTTTGACTTCCATTGTAGCTTTACATTATTAGAAATTACGGGATAGACTTGTACAGCACGCCTACAAATGTTGGAAAACAACCTTGACAAGCTGTGCTTCAGTCAGGAGGCTGGGTCGGTGAGCGATGCAGTCGGCAATGGATGTCGCCAAGGCCGGTCGATTCAACACTTTCGTAAGAATAAGGTTCTTCTCAAAGACATCCCACAGTTCCCGCTCCAACTCGACCTTCGATTTCGTCTTAAGGGAATACAGCCCAATAACGGATTTAAGATGCCATTCATCGATTTTACACTTCTTCCACACCACCCTGTCGCGCTTCGCACATTCCAAAAACATCGTCACCATGAAGTTTACGACCTCGTCCAAACGCTCTCCCTCAAAGCCCAGTTCGCACTCGTAGAACACCAACGTCGGCATCCTGTTCGGTTTGAGGATACTGCTGATTAAACCGGTCAATTCTCGGCATCTGTCCCTGTCAGCCGACATGATAATCACCATCTTGGTGCGGCTGGTGAGGCACTTGAGCAAGCACGACGCCGCCCAGTAGATACCGTGCCACGCAATGGTCAAAATAAAATCATCCGGATCACCGTCCGAAACGCGCACATCAGGGAAGTAGCCTTCGCTGGTGAGAAGAGTGCTCCACACTTGACACACCCGCCGACAGCGGATGCGCCCGATAGAGTCCAGCGAGCGGAAGACCTCCAACAGCAGCTCCACTGGTAACGGCAAGCTGTTGTAAGGATCCCCAGAAATCTTGCGCGGTTTATTAGGTGTGGTAATTCTCTGACGGAATAAATTCAGAAAGTACTGGCATGTACTCGTCTCCGTCGCTTTCTTCGCTGTTTTGTATATCACTTCCTACAAAAGGTTCACTTTCTGAACATTTTGTACAGCTTCGACGCGTGTTACAACTAGCGGCCCAACAATATTTCTTTGAAAATTTTGTGAAAATGAGTTTTCCCCGTTTTATTGTATGACTTAAGGGGACCCCTAGCAGTAAGAAACGGGTTTGGGAAACGGGAATGGTTTAAAACGATGGCCAGATATGCGTTTTCACAACTTTCGCGAAACAGAGATTACTGCAGTGACTTACCACTTGTGCCCCTGTCAAGGGCGCTCCGTTATCACGCTGTAGGTAGTGGAGGGTCTGGCTGAGCAGCGAGGTGCACCGCACATTATATTGTTCGCTCAGATTGAACTTGAATATCTCCCCGCACAACTGGGAAGCGGCGGACCAGTAAGCGGCCGGCAAGGAACACGAGCGGATGACAAAGTCCGACATCTCCACGCGCTGATGCTTCATACTCGCCACCGAGGGCGCTGGGCGTATTTGCTCGTCAGGGACCAGCTGGCGGACGGCACCCTGGGGCAACTGCACTTCCATCATTCTAGCGTCAAAGCAATCAAATCCTCCCGGGACAGCTTCGCCACTGTACCAGATCCAGGCACCATCCGGATACCGGCGCAGCAGGACCTGCTCGTTGCTCCTAGGAGTCCGCATGTCGGAGAACCGGTTGCGGCAGTGGTAGGCGCTTCCGTGCTCGATAAACTCCTGTCGCTGGTTCGCACAGCGGAAATCGACGATCAGGCCGCCCGGCGCCAGGTTGACGACATCGCCGTGCTGCAGCTGGCCGTCGATGAAGACATCCACGGCGTTCCAGCCGCAGACACGACGCCTATCGTCGCTGTACACCGGCATCGTGAAACTCCTGCTGACAGTTACGGTAATTTACCCAACGGATTGATAAGTGATAACACCAGCGATGACAGGTCAACAAGGTTCCGAAATGTTTAACAAAGTTCCGAAATAAGAGAGCTGGAACTTTAGGAGTGCTGAAAAGTATCAGAGTGCAGTCACACTGACGTCAGCAGTGGACACAGTAAAGAGTCACTAAAGCACGAAAGAGTTTGATTTTAATTTCCACTCGACGACTCTAGAATCTAGAGTTCTAGAGTTAGACCCATCTGAAAAAATTAGCAAAATTAACACAGAAGTCGGAATTTTTTAACGTACCGATCACTCTGAGCGGGTGACAAGAAGTAAAATGTTAACCCTCACTACGCAGTACGCACTGCATAACTAAAGTCAAACTGCATAACTAAAGTTCTTTGATTTTAATTCTTGTCAGCGTTTTTGAATTCACTACCGGATACATTTTTCGTTCCTCGATGAACAAAATATAGAGATGGAAGCATAGCTCCATTGCCAACGACCCAAATCCGTGATCAGCCTTAGCACGAGCTGCTCAATGCCTGTTTACGGCGACCAGAATCGTCGCGTCTGCGGCTGGAATACCGTGGACGTTCTCATCGACGGCCACCTGCAGCACGGCGACGTCATCAACCTGGCGCAAGGTGGCCTGATCGTCGATTTCCGTTGTGCGACACAGCGCGCGCAGTTTGTCGAATACGGTCGCGCTTTTCATTGCCCCTTCCTGGCCTACCAGATTCGCAGTTCGGAACCGAATAAGCAAGTACTCCTGCGTCGGTATCCGGACGGTGCCTGGATCTGGTACAGCGGCCATGTTGTCCAGGGAGGATTCAGCTGTTTGGATGCTGACATGATGGAAGTGGATATGCCCCAGGGCACTGTCCGCCAACTGGTCCCCGGCGACCAAATACGATCAGAAATGGAATTGGGCGGGTGGCGCGTGGGGCAGGATGACTTTGTCATCCGCTCCTGCCCCCTGCCGCCTGCATACTGGTCCGGAGCTAGTCAGCTGTGCGGGCAGATATTCAAGTACCAGTTGAGCCAACGATTCAATGTGCTGTGCACGTCTCTCCTCAGCCAAACACTCCTGTACCTGCAGCGTAACGAAGATACTCCGTTGACATTGGAACAAGTGGTAAGTCTTAGATATGTCAACCCAATCTCCGTCGCACTGGGTATTTTTGAATTCCCCTGCAACACTTCCTCGATACTCGAAGTACCCTGCCTTGCTGTTTCAGACCGTTCACCTAGGTTTCATCACTTTGATGGAAGTGTTTTATGTCGAGAATCCAGTACTGTACGGGCAGGTTTCAGTGCTGCTCCTTTGGCACCACTCTTTCCATATTTTCAGATAAATATTACAATTTTTTTAAAGAAAAAAGCTATAAGAAATTTAAAAACTGGGTGGGTTTAATAATAAATATTAATTTATAACGCGGGGCCGTATGGGCGCCACGCGTATCCTCGACAGCGAACAGCGTGAACCCGGATGACGCTTTATTGCCGAATCTAATGCGCACCGTGGCGCAACAACACCGGACTCATGAGGAAGGATTCTGCAGCCAGTGCAACTGTGCTGCAGATCCGTCAAAACAGCGCAGGAATGTGCGGGGTGGAAATCCCCAGAAACACCGAATAGCTACCCAGGAGGGCGGGGCGTCCCGCCCTTACAAATTCACAATTTTTTTTTATTTTTTGAGGTACTGATACAAGAATTTCAAAATGATAGTGTCAGCGAATGGATCTTACTTTAGCTTTTAAGCCGAGATTAAGAGAAAGTCATAACGGCATTAATACCATAGAAATATGCTCAAAGACGGAAAGCCATACAAGTGTGTACTGTATATAAATTGCGTTACTGTATATAAAAGGTCAAATATTGCGTTAGTTTTGATTGTTGGAAAGAAATCAGAGGGATAAGAGCAGTTTGAGAATTCATCAAATAACGACAATATTTCGTTGGTGCTTGCAGAAAGGGGTATTCGACACAGCGAAGGAAGAAGAGCATACCGGGACATCCCAATACATACAGAAGATATTCCGGCAGCGGATTAGCACACCTAAGAAAGGACGCAAAAGTTCTGGCGACTGTCGACGCTGCCTACCGCTGCCGACTGAGCTGCTGCTGGAGATCTTCCGCTCGCTGGACTCCATCGGTCGCATCCGCTGTCGGCGGGTGTGTCGAGTGTGGAACACTCTCCTCACCACCGAAGGATACTTTCCCCATATCTGCGTGTCCGTCGGCCACCCGGACGATGGCGTATTAACCAACGCGTGGGTTTGGCATGGTTTTTACTGGGCGGCGTCTTGTTTGCTACAATGCCTCACCAACCGCACCAGGATGGTGATTATACGGTCGGCAGACATTGAGAGATGCCGAAATTTGGCCGGTCTGATCAACGATATCCTCAAACCGGCGCGGCTACCGACGTTGGTGTTCTACGAGTGCGAAATGGGCGATGAAGAAAATTATTTGGACACTGCTGTCGACAAGTTGGTATCGATGTTTGGGGAGTGCTCGGCGTGCGACAGGGTATTGTGGAAGAAGTGCGATATCCGCGATCTCTACCTGAAGGCCGATGTAGCCCAGCATTCCTTCTTCGCCCATCCGAAGCAGGAGCTAGAGCGGGAACTATATGAAGTCTTTGAGAATAATCTAATCCTTGGGAAGCCGCTGAATCGGCCGGCCTTAGCGGCCTCGATTACCGACTGCATCGCTCACAAATCCAGCGAACTAACGGAAAAACAGATTGTAAAGGTAAGAAGAAGTGAAGGCACGGTACCAACTATTACTTGATCGTTTCAACAAATTTTCAAGAAAATCGGACGCGTTAGTGATTTACATGCAATGTCTACAACTGTTGTATGTACATGGAGATTGTATTAGATCCCGAATCGACGGAAACGTTTAATAATATTACAGCCCGAATCGACTGAAACATTTGCCCAGATGTTGTACCACACATTACACTACATTTCGTTAAGTGTCCATAACACTAACAATGCAGTACTAAATGAAAATTATTGAAGGGTGATTGTAATTTGCAGGCCCTGAATGAGTACCAGCGTTGGGATCCACGGCTATCCACTGCTTATCGCGGTCGCAAGTGGACGCCGGCTGCGCTGGGCGATCTGGACGCCAGTAAACTGACCACAACAACGGCGGTAATCTTGAGCGAAGGGATTCTCATGAACGATGATGACGATACCGACGGATGATTAATTCGGCGGAACTGCCACCATGGGATCGCGCTTGACCTTTTCTTAAAATTCTGTCTATTTTGCGAGTTAACCCTTGATTTTCCTGATCAATGCATGTTCTGCGCTGAACTGTTAATGTGTTTTCACGTTTCCTGTGTAGTGTGTTCTAGACTGCTAGTAATGATAATCCACTTCGCCGTTTCCAGTTTTCGGAGTTGCTTTTTTGACATACTTAACCCATAATACTGTAATATGTCGTGCGAACTCACTGCCAGTCTCGCATTTCACTGTATCTGTAGATATCGGTAAGCACCACTGCCAAAGTATTCGATCTTAGAGGTCACCTACTACAGAACTCTGTAGGTTTTCCCATCTAGCGGACAAATAAAAACCAAAAGGTCATACTTCAGAGTCCACCTAACCATGTTTGATTCAGTGTGTGCAGTAAATCCCTGCCAGAGCAAACCGCGATCTGTACGACAGCTGCTCCGGAGTCCGGACACCGGCCTGCCTGGTAGGCTCAAGTTCAAGCATAAATAGATACTTATCTCCATGTCACAACTCACTACATGCGGCGTTAGTATAGAATTTGGTGTGCTACGTGGATCACACTCGGCAGTTCATTTCCGCATAAGTGCCATTTTTCGGAATTCCCTTAGTTAAGACTTCATATGGCTGCACTTCCTCGCGGAGACTACCTAGGGCGCCCTCTGTGACATGCTGAGTCTAAGCAGGGCGCAATCCGAGGGAAACCGAGAAACGGCTGAAAAGGGCACCGATGGGGGAATCGAACCCCGGCTACGTCGTTAGATCCGTGTAGGCAGTACTTACAACTGCACCACGGCGCAATACGTTGAAATCATTTACAAGACTTTATCGCTGTACGTGAGCCGGTTCTCTCCTCACATGATGATATAACGGGTACAAAATATGTCATGAAATGTGAATTTTTGGGCATGGCGATATAGTGTTTCTAGTAAACCGTGGCGGATGACCTGTTGTGATGGCAAGTTTCAAAACAGATTTTAACCGCAGTAAAAACCTCACTTGGCATAGAAACAAATATCGTGAGATTATTAGAATCATCAGGCAACATCGTCGCCAAAAAACATACATCGTTATCGCCATTTCCTGTTACCAACTCGCGCTTACGGTACGGAGATGACTGCTAAGTTTCAATAAAGCAAAACAACAGGAACAACAAGTTCGGGCGAAGCGGCCCGCTACAAAACTAATCACTATCGTCGCTACTCGTATCCCATGTATCCTGAATCACAATCCCTTCGCTCACAGCGGACGCCGTCAGTGTGGTCAGCTTACTGGCGTCCAGATCAGCCAGCGTAGCCGTTGTCCATTTGCGGCCGCGGTAGGGGGTGGAGAGGCGCGGATCCACACGCTGGTAATAATTCAACGCCTGAAGAATTTTTCTTACAGTTATTAAAATAAGAGAGTATCAGGGAACAAATACTTGGAACATCATTCCCGCTCCCCGAACTGAATAAAGGCAACATGCCGTGCATACAACACTCGATCTACCTTCACAATCTGTTCCCCCGTCAGTTCGCTGGACCGGTGGGCGATGCAGTCGGCAATCGATGTCGCTAAGGCCGGTCGATCCAGCGGCTTCGTGAGAACAAGATGCTTCTCGAAGACATCCCACAGCTCTCCGTCCAACGCGTCGCCGGGCGTCGTGTTGAATGTATAGTGTTGTATCTCTGCCTTGAGATGGCGATCACACATGTCGCATTTCTTCCACACAACCCTGTCCACGGCCGAACACTCCACAAAAATGCAAGCCGATGTGTACATGATTCCCCGGATATCGTCGTGTTCATCGCCGAAATGGCAGCAGTAGAACACCAACATCGGGATCCGGGATGATGTCACAAGAATATCGATGAGAGGGGCCAATTCCACGCATTTGAAATCGTGCAGAGACGAGATAATGACCATCTTGGTGTGGCTGCTCAGGCATTTTTGCAAGCCCACCGCCGCCCAGTAGATACCCGGCAAATCAAAAGTCAGCACGCCGTAATCCGGATGGCCGCCGGATACGCGCACATCGGGGAAGTTGGCTTCGGTGGTGAGAATGTCATTCCACAGCGGACAGACGCGTCGACAGCGGATGCGCCCGATAGAGTCCAGCGACTGGAAGATCTCCACCAAAAGCTCAGTCGGCAGTGGAAAAACCTTTCGAGCACCGTCGGAAATTTTCCTGTGCTCATCCGCTGGGTTAGCCCGCTGACGGAGTAGCACGTGCAGTAAGCCGGTATCCGTCGGGGGGCTACCGCTCTCCTCCACTGTCTTAGCCCGGTCGTAAACTCCTTCCTACAAGACGTTGTCAATGTCCACCAGATTCACCAAATTTCACAGTTAAAATTCAAACAATAAAAAGCGGAAATGTTAGCGACTGAAACCAAAGCAACAGTTCATGGTTGTATAACACAGCCGTCAAAGCGGATGTCTCTCTTTGATAGAAGGCTTGAATGATAGTATTCTTCGCTTTTTATCGTAATATCCAAGTGAGAGATTCCTCAATGAGATAGCCGCTCACTTATTGCGCATACGTACAGCTGGGTGACCGGAATATGAAACCATACACAAAGTGACCGGAATACGAGAAAAAGCGAAGTACTAAAAAATCTGAGGGCTAGTTTTCATAAGAAGAGAAAGTAACGACAGATTCGGTTAACAAAGCAAAATTAAGGGAGCTTGAAAATTTGGGGCGGGGAGCTTGAAAACCGCCGAGGGTGAGGCAAGATTTAGAAATTTTCCTGGAAGCTAACTAAAGTACTTCACAAGGAAATTATCCTGAGCGCAGAAAATCAAAATATACAGTAGACTGAGATTGAGTAGAGTATAATGACATGCTTCCAAAACACACAATGTGTGTTTTGGAAGCACATTTTTAATGTCATTGAAAACCGGGAAATTGTTTTAAATTATCCCAAACCTTCCTGGCGGCTCGCCCTTCCCTTCCCCTTAGCATCTAGTCTCTGCCGAAATTCTAATTTCACAACCTTTGAGCTATCATGCGCCTTACGTATACTTAACCAAAAGCGAAATTGCCGCAATTTCCGAATTAAATCCTACCAAATTCACTGACACCCCACCCCTTGTGGTTTCAAGTAATTTGTAAGTAATAAGTAAGTAATTTGGGAAACTAACGGCGTTTAATGCGGAATCTACCGAATGCCAATGAAAATGGGTGGAGGAAGACATACCACTTGGGCAAATGTTAATGGCGTGTCCTTCTCAGGCTGCAGATAGAGGACCGTCTGGTTGAGTAACGAAGTGCACACCACATGGAGCCAGCTCAATCCGCATTTGAAGATCTCCCGGCGCAGCTGGGAACCGTCGGACCAAAACCCGCCCGGCAGAGGGCACGAGCGAATAACGAAGTGATCCTGGCCAACGCACAGCTTCTCCAGAACCGCGTCCGAGGGCGCTGTGCGTAGTTGATGAAGGGGGACCACCTGGCGGACGGTACCCTCGGGCAGCTGCATATCCAGTAGTTGCGCATCATCGCTGCTGAAGCGTAACCGCTCCACCACACGCCCGGGATACCAAATCCAGGCACCGTCCGGATAGCGGCGCAGCAGTGCCTGCTTGTCTGGTTTCAGGTTGTGTTTCGTGAAGGGGCAGTGAAAAACCAGTCCGTATGCGACAAAGTGCGCGCGCTGGCTGGCACAGTGGAAATCGACGATCAGGCCGCCTGGCGCCACGTTGATGACGTCGCCATGCTGCAGGTGTCCGTCGATGCGGACGTCCACGGCATTCCATCCGTAGACCCAACCCTCCTCACCGTACACTGGCATCGTGGTGTTCGTGCCGTCGTGCGTGAATTGCGCTTTAGTTGTGCTGATACGAAATCTCGGCTGTGTTGCCAATCGTTCGAAACGGATTTGAAATTGAGAAGCTGAATCTCTCTACTAAAAACCAGACGATTACAAATGTGCAGATGAAAAAATCCTGATATTTGATATTTATCACAAATTCACAATACTGGGAAGATTCAAAGAGCCCACTGCTTTATAGGTAAACCGAAAGTGCAGCGACATCATTTTGGATGGAGTTTCTTTTACTGTACAGGCTGCCGTCGCATGGCGGTTCGCACTAAGAAAATTTGAGATCAATGACGTTTGCTTTCTGTCGCATGGTCTTCCGCCCTTAGTCGACATTTGTAGTTCAGACTCAGAGAGTGATATACCGGTATCACGGGCCGTCGGGCGGTATGTGATATTCTTTGGCTCCGTGCATTATAGATATTGATAAATTTATGTCTTTTGCTCGTTGTGTTACCTCTGGGCTCTAACAGCAACACTCCGCCTGCAAATGTACTAACCATACGAATCTGGATGGAGGTCGGCTGTGGGAAGAATTCTTTCGCGCGTGGTTGCCCTGTAACGGCTGTAGTAAGGTTTCCTTCCGTGAGTTAAAAGGTTGCTCGCAACACAGCCGTAGTGATTCACTTAACTACAGCCAAACTAAAACGCAGCCGAAGTGTGAAGTATTGTATAAGTAATACTTTAATAGTTAATTAATACTACATAATTAATGTTGTGAACAGTAACTGCGCAGCAGGTAGAATGACAGAAAGTACGGCAGAAGGAAGTAAGGAGTAAACCAGTAGTTGCTTGGAAAGCAACGTACACGACACGAAGAAAAGCTGTAGAAGACGGTTCTCCGTAAACTCTGAGTTTTTTGTTGTTTCTAAAGTATTTTATTTGTGACAACGCAATAAAGTGTTCGAAGTTCCTAGTAGGAGCTAGAACTTCCTAGTCCTACTTCCTACTCACTAGTAAAACATAGCAGAATGGCATCTTGTTATAGCAATATACAAAGAAACTCCTCAGCCTCTTAAATTTCACCTTCCTACAACATTCACCCCTTTTGCTGCATGCATGAGGCTGGGAACCAAAGCGTCCGGTAGACTATAACACAGGGACAGTTGTCTGGATAACATTCAACCCTTTACAGCTATAACATACACCTTTTATGGAACTGGTAACAGCTTTACCAGCTTATTCAACCCCTGCGTAACGTACGGTCGGCTAGGATGGTGAAAAACAACCATTTTGATGTCTCTAAAACAAAGTTCCGGCATCTGTTTTTAACCTGTTTATTACCGGATCCTCCACTCCAAGCATACAAAAAGGCAGCAAAACCAACATTCAGACCGAATAATGCCCATACTCTGATATTTTGTAAATTTTTTGGTTAAGTAACCCCCGAGAGGGCTGTGCCCCTGAGTTCCTGAGGGCAGTGCCCCTGGGGGCAGTGCTTCTGTATAACATACACCCCTCTACAACATACACCCTCCGTTCCAGGCTTTCTGAATATTACAAAGAAGTTTCACTGTACGGTACAACTGTACAAGTACAGATATATTGTACTACTCCCCGTCGACAAGCTGAGCCAAACGTAACAAATGCGTTTACTACAATCAGCCCTAACAAAGAAAAGATTATCGTGAGGTCATCAGAAACATTTGGCAACATTATCGGAAAACATCATGATCGCCACCATCATTCCACTATCATACAATACACTCGCAGTTACAGTACGCAGACAACTTTTAATAAAACAAATCTGCGAGAGAAACAATCTCGAGATACTTCCATTGCGGCCCAATAACTAACTAATCAGTAAGCACTATCATCGCTATTGGTATCCTCACTATCCAGGATGTCAATCCCTTCGCTGAAGACTGCTGCCGTCATTGTGGTCAACTTCCTGGTGTCCAGATCTCCAATCAAAGCCACCGTCCACCAGCGATCGCGGTAATGAGTGGACAGGCGCGGATCGACACGCTGGTACTCATTCAACGCCTGCAAAATCACAATCATCAATGGATAATCAAAAGCATTTATTTGGCCGGGCCCGCTCTGAGTGAACTGTTGCATTTCATGGGCCATAAAATTCGAGACTTAACTGCAGCAGCGCGTTCTACTGCTTTCCTTAAGCAGTGTTTTAGTCCCGCCGTTGTTAAGGAAATGCGGCGGCTGTTTCGAGCACGTTACATTTTAACCCAAGAGAAGATAGAGATTTTGGTTGTTTTTTAATGTTCAATTTGGACTATCAAGAAGTGTACCGGCGCCTGCAATCATTGTTTTCTGGGCGGCTTGTGCCCATTAAATTTCTTATCAGAAGAACTAAATCCATATTGTGAATATACCCAGGTTGCAAAAAAATGTCCAAATTTGTGAAAATTAATAAGGTCAATGGACTAACCTTCACAATCCGTTCTTGCGTAAGTTCGCAACGATGAGCGATGCAGTCGGCAATCGATGTCGCTAAATCCGGGCAATCTAGCGGCTTCGTCAGGACCAGATGCTCCTCAAAGACATCCCACAGCCCACTCTCCAACTCGTCCCCGACAGGGCAGTGAAGGAGTACTGCGCTACCGCGGCCTTCACCTTCAAATTGCGATCATACATGTCGCAGTCCCTCCACACCACCCGCTCGAACGTTGACCCCGCGCCGAACGTTCTAACCGCGTTCTTCATGACACCGCGGATACCGTCGAATTCGTCGCCCAACCCGCAGTCGTAAAACACCACCAAGGGTATCTTGGTCGGTCCGCGGAGCATACCGATAAAAGCGGCCAGTTCCACGCATTTATATAATCCGGAAGACATGATAATCACCATTTTGGTGCGGGTGCTGAGATACCTGACAATGGAAGCACAGGGATTCACACGGTTGTGACTCGCTTTGCAAATGATTTGAAATGAAATTAGAAATAGGGAAAAAAGAATTTTTAAAATTATTTTCCGAAGATTTTGTACATCGTGATGATCGTGTCGCGTATTTTTACATCTTTTTAACAGTTTCTTTCCAACGAATTTTATCTGAGAGGATGGCATGAGCCACGGTAGTTGGACGATCGATAGAGTGACTGTGAAAGTTGAATCTTTTGATTTCGAAACGATCTGATTTGAAGCAGGGAATATGAACCGCTGGAAGTGGTGATTCCAACCCTACCCGCTCAAGCAAGCCGCTGCCCAGTAGATACCCGCACACGAAAACGTCAGAACACCATAATCCGGACGGTCGCTAGATACTCGCACATTGGGAAAATATCCGTCCCTGGAGAGGTGGCGTTCCATAATAGACACACACGCCGACAGCGGATTCGTTCGTTAGAGTCCATCGACTGGAACACCTCCACCAGCAGCTCAGCCGGCAGCGGTAGACTAACTAGCCCAGCTCCACCGGAAATCTTTCGCTGTTTATCAGCTGGATCCGTCCGCTGACGGAGCAGCAACTGCAGTAACGCCGTATCGTCAGCGGGTCCACCGCTTTCCTCGTCTCTCTTTGCCAGGTTGTATATGCCGTCCTACGTGGAGGATTAATACAAGGTAGACAGTGTTCGGTTCAGCTCACAACTTCTGTCGAATTATATTTCAAAGTTCCAGGTTGTCAGAAAATAATGATATTACCAATATAATTTACACTCATAATGTGTCATCTCCTTGTGAACTATGACCATTGTCTTACTACCTGATCTATGAGTGTAAAAAGCACCCAGGTCACCAATTCCCTTGTTTAGCAGATGTTTAGGTGCAGTAACTTACTAATATCATGAATGTACTGTGCGGTATATCAGCAACCAGCTTGTATACTCGTAACGTTGAAAAACAGAACGGACACCAGTGTGTGCGACGCTTCCGGTTTCTGTTCCCGTGACCACGATAATCTCATAATATAAATTCAAACACAGGTAAACCATTTTCAAAAAATAACCCAGCTCCGAGCATTTGAAACGGTTTTAATGAAACCGTTAGTTTTAGTAATTATTTGTCAAACGTTCGGAGGTGGAAAAATGATCAACTTAAAACAGTGACGTTATATAAAATTCAGCGGAAATAAGCAACTGCTAAAAAATAACGATATGTCCCAGACTATTGTATTATTGATCTTGTGCCGTAATAATAATAATTAGCCCAATTAATTTCTATGTGTGTTAGTGCCCTGCAACGGAGTAGAAACTAGAAAACTTAGTCCACTCCTATCGGAACTTATAAATATTTTACCAAATCCAATCCGACTCCGAATTTTAAAAATCTTACTCCGACCACTCCGATCCGTAAATATTTTCTACCATCCGAATCCACTCCGCTCCACTCCGAAAAACTTTATTAAATTTATTTACTAAACTCGGGAAAGTCTTCTGTAACACCAGCCGACGCATCAGCGTAGTAACTCTTTAAGAAAAGTAAATCATCAACTTTTTCCGGCTTAAGACTATTACGACGATCATCTATAATGAACCCAGCTAAACTAAACGTTCGTTCACAAGCAGTACTTGTCGCCGGTACAGCAAGAATCTGCTTGGCCAGTTTCGACATTCTGGGCAGTTCGGTCTCTTTGTTCTTCCAAAAATCAAGTATCCATCTTTCATCGTCGTCAGCTGAACTTGGTGGCACGGATGTCTTTAAGTATAATCCAATTTCGTCGTCTTCTTGATCAGGTACTAAATCATCTTCGAAGTCAGCAAACGTGCTTGCTCTACTTGTAGTCGGTTTTTTAGAATGCAAGCTGCTTAAACCAGAACCCATCACAGGCAGTAACGCTTTCACGCGTGCATGTACGGCTCTTTTTTCCGCTTCGGTTAACATTTTCTACGTGCGCATTCGAGGATTCAGAAAAGCCGCAATCTGATGAATGTACACGATCACAAATTTTTCTCGTAGGTAACGCAACATCATCTTTCGCAAGGCCGAAATTGCTGGCGCTTCATCATCATTAGCAGCTGCCATATAAAAGCTTTCCAGCTTTTTTCGCCAAGGGAGTACCAAATGCATAGTGGGAA